GATCAACAGCTTGACATTTTACTCCTCGTTTTGAAGCTTGCCCATTGTTCCTAAAATTAGGTTCAGTTTGTTTGTTCTGACAGTCGAGGAACTGTACGCATTCGAAGGCTGAAAATGAGTGTACAGCATTGCTGCAGTAGCTCAAGGTCGTTTTGCTTTCTTGGTGAAGCCATCCATGCAACATAATCGGAAGCCAATGGCACGGGGGATGGGGGGGGGGGGGGGGGAGCTGGACGTCCATGCCCCATGGGGTTCTTGCGTACCTCTCCTTGCGGTAGCGGTGATCCTAACGTGGATCTCAAGATTATCAGTCCACCCTCAAGTGCTCCAGTCCTGGTCGGACCCGTGTTTGAATGGCTTTGTGATACCGTCCGTTTTTGTTTTTAGTCCATGCTCGTGTCTGTGTGAAAATGCCAGCTTAACCATGATGTGTTAAGTTCGTAGATAAAGTTAGCATATATGAAGTTAATGTGATCTAATATAATCTTAGTATACAAATGACGCCCTATATCGATGGAATGTCTTTTGCACACGCCCCTTAGTATGCGAAGCGTGAACGAGTAAAGCATGCTGGCTTGCCTTTCCCATTCTTAGCTGCTGAGCTCGTATGGATGCCGTTTTTACCTGCTAGCCGTGCTTCCGGCCAGATTTCGACAGCTTTAGGCACACTTTTTGTTCTTCAGGCATGTTTGGAAGGTAGTTTGGTCACCTTGGCGCATCGAATTTACTGAACTTAAAGTATGGTTGAGTCGGTAGAAGAAGTTAATGTATTTTATGTTAAAGTGTATCAACTTCTTCGTGCTTCTACCTTAACTTCTCACTTCTTCTTAGCTAATGTTATTTCGTTGAGAGATAATGGTGATCGTTTCACTTTGTTATTGAGGCAAACGTTCGGAAGTTCGAGTGGAATAAACTCCGCAGTGTATACATTCCTCTGCGTACACTTGCGTGCGTCACCGCTGGTGCAGCATTCTGCGCTGCTGCGGACATCACCGTCACATGTCTGTTCCCCCTGCGCCGTCCGACAGGCGCCCTCCGGCCAAGCGACCCTGCTACACCAGGCTGGCCGTGTCCGACCCGTTCGAGTGTCCGTGGCCGCGGCTGCTGCGTCGGCTCTGTCCATCCGAGGGTGCCATCGAGGCTGGCTCCGTGCGCGTCTGCCGGGACCGCGCCACGCTGGCGCTGCTGAGCGCTGCGCTGACGGCCGGCCGGCGGCGGCGGCAGCGGCGGGCGCCCGCAGCTGCCGCCGACCGCCGCCGCGCGGCTGGTCGCCGTCCGACTGGGCGCCGCGGGCCGCGGCGTGCCGCGCGCCGGCGCACTGCTCTGCCTGCCAGCGGCTGGCGACTCGGCCACCGCCGCGCTGGCCGAGCCGCCGGCCGCCGACGCCGCCGCCGGCGAGCGGACGGCGCGGCGCGATGCCTGGCAGCGCCGCCAGCAGCTGGAGAAAGCGCCGCCGCCAGCGCTGCCGCCGCCGCCAGCAGCCGGAGCGGGCGGCGGCGGCGCGCGACGCGCTGGCGATCGAGCGCCGCGGCCAGACGGAGGCCATGGAGCGGCTCTTTCTGCCCGGAGCCGAGGTGCAGCCGCAGCGGGAGGTCAGTGCCGGGTCACCGGTGGTGCGGCTGGGCTCGGCACGGCGGCTGAGCTGTGCAGGTCGGGGAGGACGTTTGTCTCGCCCCGGAAGGTGCTCCAGTTCTGGCGGGCCGTCGCGATTCACGTGTCTTTGCGTCATCAGTCACCGGCTGATGACCGGCTGAACAACTTGCCGTTCTCCCTCCCCCTGCCGCTGCCTCGTTGTCGCCTTGGGCGCGCCATGAGCGCGTGCTGGCCGCCACCGCCAGGTGATCGGTCACATGACGTGCTGGCCGCCGCCGCTGTGTGCCAGACTATTCACGTGACTTGCTGACCAGTGCCGCCGTCCGCCAGGTGATCGGCCACGTGACGTCGGGCGACTTCTGCCTGTCGGAGGCGGGCGGTCCGTGGCACCGGGTTCGTGGTGCTCGAGGGCCTGCTGCGGCTGCTGGAGTCGGGCGGCAGGCAGCTGCTCTTCCGCAACACGGATGCCACCGCTTACCGCTGGTGCGAGGTGACGCTGGTGACGGAGCACTGCTGATGACGTCAAATCGGGGTCTCTGCGGGTGTCAGCTGGTGCTGGTGATGAATTGCTGTTGATGACGTCACGCCGGGGTCTGCCGCTGGTGCGAAGTGACGGAACGCTGCGGATGACGTCATACTGGGGTTGGTCGTCGGTGCCGGCCGGCGTCGGAACCCTGCTAATGGCATCACATGTGAAATCCTACTGACGTTATATGCCAGGCTGCCGCCGACGCCGCTGGACAGGGCTCAGCTGTAGATGTCCCACGGGAGGCGGTGACGTCATACCTGAGACTACAGCGGATAACGGACGCCGTCGGTGACGGGACGCGTTGTTTTGCTGCTGATTCTGTGATCCACTCGCGGTCGTCTACCGTGTCTGGAGCAGGTGGTGTGGAACGAGGCGTGTGTACTGCTCCTGTTCGGTGTTTTGTTTCCGCCGGGCTGGTTTGGTGCTGTGGGATGCGCTGTGGAGCGGTCCGTGAAGCGAATCATACGCCGTGTAGTGTTGACCGCCTTTTGTCATGCTTTTGTCATGCAGCGGCGCGATGGTCCAATTTGTAATCGACCGGAAGATCCGATGTGTACACCGTCATTCCAGCCTTCTGCTTCAGATACCAAGGCAAATCAGAGACGTCAAGCCAATAAATACGTTGTAAGCATCTGCGAAAAACGTGCGGCTGCTATTCGACCCGTTTCAACTTGGCCTATCTTTCGCTGCGCCGCCTTAGGCTTAGTAGGCGAACCATTGCCACACCGTGAGCGTGGTGCTAACGTGAGCAACAGGGGCGGAACCAAGGGGGTAACCCGGGGCCCGCCCCCTTTCCCCTGGGCCGATATTTTTGGCGGCTGACCATATATGGCCCCCCGTAAAAAGTTTGAAACCGGTCTGATGCGGAACCACCGAGCTCCGGCCCCTCCCCTAGGAAAACCCTGGCTGCGTCCCTGATGACTCGTGGTGCGGCTGACACTAGATAACAATGACGCGAGGTTAGACGAGTTTGAAAAAACCGTAGTGAACATAAAATGAGCAAATGGACGTCCATGCACTGGAACGATCATGTCCCAAAGACGTTTGCACCGTAGCCCGAACGGGGATTGATCAACGATCTAATTCCCAGATGACGTGGCTGCCCATCTGTTGGGGCGTCTTACCACACGCCTCCATTCGGCAGGAAGATATCGATTAATCTTGCATGCGAACTGCTTACGGACCACTACTCACGCGTTACGATTTTACGCGTTTTACATACTGATCACCAGTGATCAGACCACACGACTGAATATCCTTCAGCTACACCATCTCCCGCTTTCGCCTCGCCCAAATTGCGCTGGCGCTCCTCCCACGAGCACTTTGTAGTCTTTCTGCAGTCAGAGAGTTTGACGTTTTTAAATACTGCGAGCCGCTACAGTTGATGCGGCAATGCCGCGGGGTTCAGGACAAATGGGATTCGGTCAACACCAACAACCGTCGGAACGTGACAGAGCTATGATTCGTTCTCGGACGGGTGCGAGCGCGTTCGTGGTTCAATAACGCCGCAAGATGGCGTCTATCGGCGATCTGATCACCTCAGGCACTATGAGCGACACCTCTCGACATGACATGCGAACTGAAAGCCCAGTGGCTGCGTTCCAAAAACAATCTGCCTTGATGCACAATATTGTAGGCAAGTTTATTTCAAACTTAATTTCAACAGAACCTAATACCCCAAGCTGATAACACTGGCAGGTACACATCCGGACATAAAATCTAACGGGGAGGGACCCATGTTCTCGACAATTACTACCGCAGCACCAGGACTACCACTGAAAGGCACGGAAAGTTCAATCATAGCCGAACAGCATACGACACCAACGACGACCGATTTTGCGTGATGGGCTAAGCACGGGCGTGGTCACCTGTGGCGGCGCGTCCGAAGGCCGCGGACGGGGGGAGGGGGAGGGGGGAGGCGGCCGCCGGGCGTCGCGCCAACACTGACCCGGCTTACACAGTATATATACAGAGCATCGGTGGTGGCGCGGCCACCGCGGCGGCCGCCGCCGCGCCCAGGGTGCACCGAGCCAGTGTCAGCAGGCAGGCGGGCGGGCGGCCCGGCCAGCGGGCGCGCGCCGCCCCCGGCCGCAGCCGCGGAAGACGGGCGGGGGCGGTCTCCCCTAGAGAGCGGATCGAATGTAGGTGGGGCAGGATATGCTGCGCTCGAAACCAAATTCACTTATATACATATAAAAATTAACACAACTAGTAAAACAAATCATACAATATCATACCATACGCCTTCTTCTGAGCAACTGCATGTGCGAGGAATCCAGAGCAAACCTAGGATTTGTCAAATCACTCCCGATTACAAAATTAGCATGGGCAGACCCCGGCAGTATACGCATCAGCAGTCATTAGGTTAAAACAGCGGCCGCCCGGCTCCTCCCAGGCTGCCGGGCGCCGTCCGGCCGCGCAACAATCCCCAAACGAGCGCGCGCGCCCCCGGTGACGGCCGCGATAGGCGGGGCGGGGCAGGACGGGACGTCACACCCACCGGGGGCGGGGCCGCGGCGGCCAGCACGCACGCAACCGACACACACATTTAGCTACACCGAGTTGCGTCCGACGGCGACGGCGACGGCGACGGCGACGGCGGCGGCGGCGGCGGTGAGGGCGGAGATCGGGATCGGTGCCGCCGGTGGCGGCGACGGCGACGGCGGCGGCGGCGGCGGCCGGCCGGCCGGCCGAGCGACGGAAAGGAGGCGCGACCGAAGCGCAGCGAGAGCGAAGAGGAGGGGAACGGAGCGGCGCACACGCCAAGCGACACAACCCAATCAAGACGACAAAATCCTCAACAACTCACAGCCCGTCTATGTACAACAAAACAGCGACGGCTGCGTCCACGGGGCCGGGGCGGGGGCCGTCCCGCCGCCGAGCGCCAGCCACCTCGCTCGTCAAAAATAACCCGACTCTCACAATCCGCACCGTATAAATACGAGCGCGCCGGCGCGTCCAGCTGATGGGGCGGGGCGCTGCGCGGCGGGCCGGCGCGCGCCGTGAGCAGCGCGTCCACTTTTGATTCATTTGGCACACACGCACACAGCGGGCACGTGACGCGCGCGCCCCGAGCACAACCGTCGGACTAGGTGGCGGTCGGCCGCGCGCCGTCCCGCCCGCCGCCCGCCAGCCAGCCAGCGCGCGCGCGCGCACGAGCGCGCCCGTCCAGGCGCCCCGCGCGCAACCGTGGATATCCGTACGTGAGGCACTTGTTGGCCGGCGGCCGGCCGGCCGGCCAGGCGGCCAGCCGCTCCCGTCCGCCGCCGCATCACAGGCACCCTCTTCGCAATTGAGAAACGTCGATTGCACAATGGATCACTGGTATGCAGACTGGGTGTATATATCACTTGGGCGAGCGGGCGCACTCTTTCCTGATGGGCCGGTCTATCCGGTCTTCAACTCGTCGGCGTTCGTCGCGCGCTTCCCTGGGGTCGCGCAGGTCACGCGAGTCCAGCGGCTCGCGGGCGTCGCGCACTTCACGAGCGTCTCGCGCGTCGAGCGGCTCGCGGCCCGCCTCGCGCGGGTCCCGCACCTCGCGAATGTCACGCACATCTCGCCGCACAGGCCGCTCCAGTTTCTCGGGCAGCGGCCTCCGCTTGTCCTCTCCCGGCTTGCCTGAAACACCGGGCCCACAGTGAGCTCACGGCTGGCCACGCGGTCGCCGGCCAACGACGACGGCCACATCGCTACGGACACTTCGCACACCCGTCCCACCACTGCTGCCAACTTACGATAACAGACCGGCACGAGGGCCGTGCCGTCACGGGTCGGCTCAGACGAAAGTCGGCTGCGTGGCTCCCTGAAGCGGCAGAGGCCCACATCATCATCGATCCCACACACCGGCAGCGTCACCACGCCGCCACGACACCGGCGCACGCGCAGGCCGACCTCGGTTAGACTCACGCGCGCTGTTGGAGCGCTGCACGCCCTGGGCGGCGGCCGGCGGCGCGGCGGCGGCGGCGGCGGCGGCAGTGGCCGCGGCGGTGGCCGCGGCCGGCGGCGGCTTGGCGGCCGCCTTCTTCTCCTCCTCGCGCTCCTTAACGTCGCGCTCCTTAACCTCCTGCGCCAGCTTCTCGTTCTTCTCGCGGCCCCGCTGCGCCATCTGCGCATAGCTGAGCGTGGTGGCCAGCGGCAGCTGTGGACGCGGCGGGCCCAGGCCGGTCAGCGGGACCCCTGTTGTGCGATGGAATGCCGGGGGCGCTGGAGCCGGGCCCTGTACCATCATCCTGCTCACGTACAACCAGTGGAGGTGCCAGGGTTGCCGAACACATCAACGGCATTCAGGCCAAAACGGGCAGGTGTTCTCACTGCTGGAAATCCTCATCACCACGCCGCCAAATACAGTCTCCACCCGACGGCAGCCACACCGCGCCAGCAATGTGCGAACAGTCACTAGCCCCTTAGACAGCAACAAACCACCGTCCCCACAAAGATTTCCCGTGGCAGCACGGAAGTAGACTCGCGCACAACGCCACGCGCCGTTCGCACCGGCCCAGACTCACCGAGCTGAACTCGTTCTCCTTGTTGGCGCCGGAGCCACCAGCAGCGGGCGGATCTTCGGCTGCGGTCGCGGGCGCCGCCTCGTCGGCCGCCGCGTCAGACTTCTTCGGCCTGCCGGCGCTGCGGAGACGGAGAGCGGCGCAGGTCAGACCACCGCGACGCCGCTCCACGCGCCGGTAACGTTCGCACGCGATCGGACACCGCGTTGGGCGCCAACTATTCGCGCGCTTTTTGATGAAAGAAGGCGCAGTCAGCACATTAGAAGCTGAATAAGACATCGCATTCCAGTGCGGCCTACCACGGCGGTGAGGAAGGCAGAGCTAAGCGGCAACCAACATCTAACCTTTTCGGAACAAAACGACAGACCGTCAACTCGGCAAGAGAAAATAAACCAAGGTCAGCTACCCCGTGGTGTTGCACGCCCACAATCTAAAACACGAGACAGTTTCGACAAGCTGCACTGGCCAACTGCCCACCCTGCTCCATGACCGGGAGTCCTGACCCACCCTGTACATCAGACTGACCTAGCCGGCGGTGCCGACTGCGGCGGCGGCACCCTCCGCAGCGCCGGCTGCGGCTGCGTCTGCGTCTGCGGCTGCGGCTGCGGCTGCGGCTGCGGCTGCGGCGGCGGTGGCGGTGGCGGCGGCGGAGGCGGAGGCGGCGGCGACGACGGCTGCTTCCTGGCGGGTGGCGCGGCCGCCGGCGCCGGCGCCGGCGGCGGCGGCGGCGGCTGCTGCTGCTGCTGCTGCTGCCGCGACTGCGACTGCGAATGCGACTGCGACTGCGGCTGCAGCTGCGGCTGCGGCTGCGGCTGCGGCTGCGGCTGCGGCTGCGGCTGCGGCTGCTGCTGCGACGGCGGCGGCGGCGCGGCCGGCTTGCGCACCGGCGCGGCCGGCGGCTGCGGCGAGCCCGGCTGCCTCCGTACGGCGGTCGGCGGCGGCTGCGGCGAGCTGGCGCAGCGGCGCGCCGCAGGCGACGTTGGCGGCTTTCGCTCGTGCATGCTGCCGTTCACCAGCGCCGCGTCGGTGGGGATGGCTGCGGGAACGGCGGCGGCGGCGGCGGCGGCAACGGTGGCGGCAGCAGCAGCGCTGACGGCGGGCGGGTCCCGCGCCTCGCCGGCCGGCTCCGGCAGCACTGGCGAGTCAGGCCGCGACTGCTGCTTGGCGCCCGCCGGCGCCGGCTTGGCAGCCGGCTTGGCCGTTCCCTTGACCACATCGGCGAGCCGCGACTCGAGCGCGGCGGCCGGCGCCGGCGGCGGCACCGCCTCACCCTCCTCCTCTGGCGGCGATGCCGCATCGCCGGGCGGCGCGCCCGGCAGCGGCGGGAACATCGAGCCCCCCAGGTCGAAGGCAGGTCCGGCGGCCGGCTTACCGGGCGGCCGCGCGCCTCGGGCGCCGCGGCACCGCCCGGCGCGCGCTCCTTGCCCAGCGGCTGGGTGGGCGGCGCCGGCGGCACCCTTGCCGGGCCCGGCCGCCGGGTGCGGCCGCGCCTCGTCCTCGCGGCGCCGCGTGCGTCGGAACGGCCTGCCGGTGCGCTGGTCGCGCGGCTCGCTGCCTTGGCTGTGATGGCGGCCGGCCGCGTACGCCGCCTCCTCGCGCTTGGCATCGCCGACGGCGGCCGGCGCCGCCGCCACCTGACTAGTGCTGGCGCCAGTCGGCTGGTAGCCAGACACGGTCTGCGGCCCGGCGCCGCCAGTGCCCCGGCTCGGGCCGGCCGTAGTCGTTGCTGTAGCTGCGCGCGTGCGCGCTGCGACTGCCCCGGCCGTTGGAGTAGCTGTGCGTGCCGCCCGGTCCCGGCGGCAGACCCTGCACGTGCACCGGCTGGTACGCGCTGTGGCCCTGAGTATTGTAGGCGCCCTGCAGACCCATACTCCGGCTGTGGTCCACAGAGCCGCCCGACTGGCTTCGCTTCGGGTTCCTGCGGGACACAAGGCGAGGCGCCGTCACAACGCCGGCTCCATCCACGTCTCGAGCGGGCCCTCCGCCACTCAACACCCCACCTGACAAGGCGACGACGCCCGAACGAGATCGCGCCGCGGCCCGCCGATCGAGCCAAGCCAAACAACGCCTGCCGTCGTCGGCGGCTACCGCTTACCTGTTCCGGCTGCCGCCGCCGCCGCCGCCGCTGAAGCGGCCGTTCGCCGCGCCATGCTTGAACGTGGCCTGCGGCGCCAGGCCGTTGAAGGTGAAGACGGGCGCCGAGCTCAGCTCGAACAGGCCCGTACTGGGCGTGCCGTAGAAGCCGGACAGATTCGGGAAGTACGGCTGCGGCAGCTGCTGCGCGCACGACCACCACTGCGTCAGGCGCCGCTCACGCGCCGACGGTCGCCGAGCTGGCACCCAGCAGCCCAGACGGCACGGGACTGACCCGAGGCAGGGGCGGCACGGGACTGACCCGGGCCAGGGGCAGCACGGGACGGACCCGGACCCGGGGCAGTACGCGACTGACCCGAGGAAGGGGCAGCACAGGACGGACCCGCGCCAGGGGCAGCACGGGATGGACCCGGGTCTGGGGCAGTACGCGACTGACCCAGGTCCACTCAGCACAGCGTGCTACGGACGGGAACCGCGCACTGCTGGCCGCTACGACGCAGCCCGAGCGGGACAGCACTGATGTAAAGACACAGCGCAGTGGCGTCGGCACGACTGAGGCCAGGCAATGTGGCGACGGGGATACGGTACAAAGGCGTCCGCTGCCACAATCAACTGGCGCGGCCGTACGTTGTACACAAAACAGGCCACACAGTCGTGGTCGCGCATCACTCACATCAGTCAGCACCACAAAGGTTTGGCCTGCACCACACCAAACTATGCCTGGCAAAAGGTTTAAATCACAAAGCGACCCCTGCGGAAAGATCCCATCAAACTGAGACCAAGTGCCACAAAGTGCCATCTCCGGACTCGATCTCCGCCGCACCTGTACGAGCGCCAGAGTTCGGCAGTCACGCCCCGTCACGCATTACTCCCTCCACGCCGCCACTCACGTAGAAGGCTCCGAACTGGTTCTGCTGCGGCTGGGTGTAGGCGGCCGAGGCGGCGACGGCGGCGGTGGCGGCTGGCGGCGCCGACGCCGGCGTGCCCACCGTGTATGTGTAGCGGCCGGCCGGCACGCTGCCGTTCACCTGGTAGGCGGCTGGCGGCTCGCCGCCGCCCGGCGCTGCCACGAAGCCGTTCTTGGCCGCGCTCGGCGGCGGGTTGTACATGCGGTTGATGATGGGCTGCGCCTTGATACGCGCCATAATCGGCTTGCCCTGCGGGGGGGGGGGGGGGGCAAGCGGAGCGGGTCAGTCATAGAGGGGGAGCGAGGCAGGCGTGGCCTGTGTTTGTCCATGTTCCCAAATCCGTAACAGATCTGGAAAGCGTGAAGAAAACCCACTGGTATTGAACATGTCGTTACCCAAGCGTGACTCACTCCCATCATCGACTTTTGAGGAGACGCCTTAACGTACATTGTTCGTAAACGAGCCAGGCACTGCAAAGCCTCAGAAGCCTCAAGCCAAAACCTCAGATTCCTCCCCGCGACCGCACAGACGCCTCGCTGGAGCTTGACCAGCTAATCTCCAGCGACCATGACTTGAGCTGCAGATAGCTCGCGAACACAGCTGGGGAGTGGCGGGGAAGTACTCAAACCCCGAGCCGTCAGGCGCCAGCAGCCGCCGCCCGCACCAGACTCACCTGAAAGCAGCGCACCTCCTCGCGCAGGTAGCGGTACGCCATCTGTGCGTCCTCGTCGGACTCGAAGTTGACGTACCACGAGTTGTTGAGCCGCGCGTTCTGCACGTTCACCACCTTCGGGCAGTTCGGGCTCTCGAAGATGGCCTGCGAACGAGCGGACACCACGCGTTGTCAAGAGACGGCGACTCGGGACGGGACACGCCGCAGTAGGCGCCGAGCAACTGCCAGGCCCACCTCCGCCTGATACATCAACCCCCTGGTAAAGACAGTGAAAACAAAAACGAGAGAAAAAAACGTTTTACCTCATCTCGCTCAGATTGGAGCATCCCCTCGGAACAACGCTTAAGCTGCTGTTTCATCATCGTGCTTAACGCGTTGGCACGCCAACGCCAGCACATCACACAGACGAAATGTCACGGCAGCTGGGCAGGACCAGGGAGGACGGGGACCCCGAGCCGAAAAGGACGCTTCTCCTGCGTACAGGGGCGGCTGTCAGGCCGGCCCGCTCACCTTGACCTCCTCCATGGGCGTGGCATCGGACACCTCGCGCAATATCACTGTGCACCGCTTGTGGTTGGGCCGGACGCGCGTGCACGTCCCGTCCACCTGCACGTTGGGCGAGTCTGCGAACGGCAGGGCGGCGGCCGGTCACTGCCAAGCGATGCGACGGCGCAGGCACACGGCCAGCCGCGCACGCCACGGCACCTGTCCGGTCAGCTGGCCTAGCCGGGTCTTGCGGTCGTCCGCGGCGCCGCTCAATAGCGCTCAGGAAAACCACAGGACAGCGTGACTGAATATATCCCAAACACCACTCACGAAACGCATCAACTGACGAAGCGCGCCGGGAGGGCATGCCGTGTGACGCCGAACGAGACGCGCGACGCCGGAGTCGGAGCGGAGCCGGAGCCGGAGCCGGAGCCGGAGCCGGGGCCGGAGCCGGAGCCGAACGCAGTCCGACATCAGTCACACGACGGCGTGACCATCGCACCAAAACCGGCCACCAGCCGCCTATCGTGCTCACCTTTCAACACCTGCGTGATGAGGTCGATGTTGTTGGTCAGCTTCTTGACCTGGTTGAAGTTGGCCACCGTCGATATAGGAACATACTGGTCGCTGTCCATTTGGGACATCAGGTAAGTATCGTTAGCCAAGTTCTCCCTGGAAAGGCGGAGTTCTGATCAGCATTTGCGATGCATACAGCTTCCGACACAGCCCGTAGACGCGCCGCCGCACCGCCGTAAGTGGCGCGCGCCCTCACGTAAGCCCCACCCCACCCCCACCCACGTTCATGCCGAGCTGAGCGGTCACAACAAACTGCCGACCCAGCCAGTGTCAATATCGAACGGGATCGGTCCGCCAACATCCACCACAGTGGCATCCGGTCACTGGGCAACCTCTGAGACATGAAAACAAGAAAAACAACAATGCGCTCTGGCACAAAGGCGGGGATGTGGCCAGCCCAGCGGCGGCGCCGACACCAGCCACCAGCACGGGCCGCATCCCGACACCGAGCATGCTCATCACCAACCGCCACCCAACGGCGCATTACCGGCTCCCCTCCCTCACATCCGTGGCGGCGCGCGCAGGCGCCGCGTTCGGCTCACGTCACCGCGCTGCGAACTGCGGAGAAAGGCCACACCACCCAAAATAGAACTTCATTCCACGGCCGGAGAAATCCGGGATAAATCGGTTATGTATCGACCCCGGGCCCAGGGCCGGGCGCCGACACAACAGCAGCGGTGGCCGGGCGGCTCTCCCCCTCTCCGTCTGTCTCTGCCGGGCCGGGTCGCGGCCCGAGCCCGCCGTCTCACCTGGAGAAGTAGTACTCGAGCTGGTGCTGCAGCCGCTGCTTCAGCTGCTCCAGCGGTATGCTGCCGTCCATCTGCGGCGTCGGGTAGAACACGGGCCCGGTCTGCTGCAGCACGGGCGCCGCCGGCGGCGGCGGCGGCGGGCCGGCCATCAGCGGCTCGGCGGACGGCGGCGCGGCGCCGCCCGGCACGGCCAGACCGGGCTCACTGGCGGCGGGCAGACACGGCGGCCGGTCACACGACAGCCCGCTCGGGACGGTCTGCAGGGAGCTAACAGGCCCGGCCGGCGGCCTCTGACCGCCACCGACCCTCGCCTCGACGGCACGGAACAGACTGCCTGGGGTCACGCGGCACTGGAGGTCAGCAGCAGGGTCACACAAAGTCCACAATCAGGTCACACACTGCCTGGCGTCAGACCAACAAACGCGGAGGGTTACCCGCCGTACACGGACACCAGGTCACAGCCAGTCTGGCCCCAAAGCCAGGCAGACAACGTCACACACACACAACGCAGTTTCACCGCCGAGCACTGGGGCCACATACCGCTCGCCCGAAGCCACAGCCGGACAAATCCGACCCCTGCCCCGCCGCCGCTGATGGTGACGTTCGCGGCTCCAAACACCCACCCCGCATGCATGCGCAGAACGCAATGCGTCAATGCATATACAGGGAGAAGAATTTCTAGACTTTTGTATAACGTTGGACAATATCGCGTATTACGTTGTTACAAGAATTTCGGCTGGGAAGCTACTTTACCATGTCTGCAATTTCCAGGGTCCTATCTTTATGAGGCAACAACTGTTACTTTCAATTCATATTCACATGCTATCATGACTAACCAGCAAAGCTCGGGAATAAAATAAAATAAAATAAAATAAGATAATAAAATTTCCCCCTAGCAATTTATCACGATGGGTATTTTATGAGGTCAGCACAGCGAAAACACTGACCACCACACAGGGGCGCTGAAACACTTGCTCATGGTAGGTTGTTCCGATTAATCTAGCCGGCCGTGGTTCAATTCAGGGGACATATCGATGGCAGACGTGGGGCCGCTGCGGCGCCGGCCCGCAGCGCAGGTTTATTGCCAGCTCTGACGAGCGAATGTAATCAAATACTTTGAGGCCATCAGTGCAACAGGCCGCGACACACCGGAATACCTATATCGATGTATAATTAGACGCACAGGAATCTGTAGGATTGATGACGTTCCATGCAACAGGACGCCCTAATGAAAATAGCCTGGCCAGGAAGCATGATGCAACACTCGTGTGCAACAGACCGTCGTCGTCACTGGGTCTTCACGACACACTCAGCTACTGAGGCTAGATGGCGTCGCCTGCCTCCCACCTGGGGGTGTGTGGTGGGGTGTGTGGGGGGTGGGTGGGGGGGGGGGGGGGGCGTCGCAGGTGATCGAACCCCGTACCTCTGGTTTCCCAGCCGCGCGCTGGTGACTACAGACCCGTTAACCACTGCACTATCTGCACCCCCAACAAACCATCCTAATGCAACCCACCCTCAGACGTAGCACGGCAAATGTCCCCCCCCCCCCCCCCGAGTATGGAATAAAAGCATACCACTGAAAAGACAGGTGCCACACAGTCTGTTTAATTTCGCGCCACTACATCTGCTCTCAACAACCATCTCAGCAATCGATCCAACTTCTTTCACCCCCCCCCCCCCCCCCCCCTCCCGCACGGAGGTCTCTTTCGCAACACGACCTCGCGCGCAGCCAGTAAAGGCGCGCCAACGGGCCGGCGGCGCTGGCCCCGGCCGTGCTGTCGGCCGGCCGGTGTCCGCATCTGACTCAGCCCGGCCGCGAACCGAACAATTAGCGCCGGCCGGCCCCGTCGACTTCCGCCGCTCGGCCCCGCCAGGCCGCCGCCGCAGCTGACGCAGATTTTTTCCGCAGCCGGGGCTTGTATCGCCGAAGACTTATAACATCCAGTCTTGGGACAAAGGTCAGTCGGCGGCAGCCGCCAACAAATGGTCACACAGATAAAGGGCAAAAGAGATATTAGGCGTGGTCAACTATTTCAAGCGCAGGAGCAGCTGATGGGAACCACGTTTCGTGGCACTTACTTGGCATCGACAGCGATCCAGAAGTTAGATGATAGCGCTCACAACGTGATTTTCGTCGCACATCGCACCACACGCCTCAATGTTTAGGGACAAAGCCTCGGCATATATCAGCATCCAAAATGTCATCAGCGAGCCGGCTTACAGACACCATATTGCCATGCCACAATGAATGATCAGCCATTTGCACTTCACACACACACATAAAAACATAACCGGTCGGGCATAACAAATAAAACGCAGAAACCAGCCAGCGCACACGACTACGAACCACTCATACCTCACCCGTCCCGGTGTAAACACAACACAATACAACACAAAACAACACGATACAGGGCAACACAACACAACACTCGTGCCTTACGGCCCCCATGGGATACGCCTGGCTCAAGACTGACTCGAACCACCGACCTAATAGTCAGATCCAATTGCGATTTCCGACCCTCGGCAATCATACATGATCGTGCGAGGAATTCGTTAGCTCTCCGACAGTGAGCGACGTTCCATTTCGGTCACTGATCTATCAGTCCGCATGCATATTCGAGCTCGGCGCCTATACAGACACGCAATTGCAACTGTCGCTTCAATCGTCATGCACAACGGCAACACGTAAAGATCACTCCTCAGATTGTCAAAAGCTGATGAATGCAGCCAACCATCACGACCGTCCCGTAATTATCATATTAAGAGAAAACCAAAACTGCTACATCACAAAATAAGATACAACTCCTAAGTACCCAAATCATTAAAAGGACTGGAACCAACGTCAAACTCGGCCAACGCGACCGATTTGCTTCTCAACTTGCCAATCCGTACAGCAAATTAACTGTTCAGTGCCGTTCTAAAACTGGTAAATGTATGGGATCAACTAAACCGATTTTCTACATTGTTGCAAAAATGCCTTTACGAAAGACATCTGCGAGACTTCGAATGCTACCGGCAGTCGGTACAATCATATACTGTAAGTACTAGAGCCATACATCTGATCGCATACTGTCAGGGTTTTTACCTGTGCCACGGAATGGGTACGAAAAGGAATGATGGGTAGGCGTCGGAAGATGATACCAGCTCTGGTACCAACCAAACGTCACGCGTCTGGCACTGAGCTCAGAGCATCGTGGCTGCCGGTACGATGAAGTGCTACCAGTAACACTGAATGAATGCCTTGCAAGATGATACCAGCTCTAGAATCAAACGTCATGCCTCTGGGACTGAGCTCAACCATCGCGACTGGTATGGATGCAATGCCATGTCGCCAGCTGTATTTCAGCACATCTGTAATACCAGGGCCCTGAGCCGGTGCCAGGCTTGGGTTTAGGCTTATGGTAGTCACGACCCACGCCGAACCCGGTCCATGTCTGGTGGGACCCAAACCACAGACAGCCAGGTTCATGCCTTTTGGTTATTACAACAGGCGCTTTTGGCCTGTAATCGGACTTGGAGTGGCGCAACTCAAAACAACAATTTTTCTGGGTCACATACCTCGGATCTGGGTACGACGCTTGAGATTGCACTCGGAATCAGACCATAACTCCGACATGCAACATAAAACTGACCACATTTCCAAGATTAGTCGTGCAAAAATGCATTCCCAGGAAAAGCAACACTATCAGTGGTGTAGCTCACGATGTACCGGCCGCACCACAAACACAAACGCAGAACATGTTATATAAGGCCCCAAAAATCCGTTCGGGCTTTATGCCCACCATAGTAAATAGGATATAGCCCGAAAAAGAACGCAGTACCCCCGAGATACTGTATGCTGAACTATCAATATCGCTTAACCTAGCTTCAAAACTGATCATGTGTCTTGCAACAACAGGCACTTTTACATGCATCGGAAATTGCGAGAAAATACACCTCATTTTCACCGCCCTTTGTAGTTCCTATCCAATGCATGCCCAAAACGCCGCAGCGTCCAATGTCACAGAACATGAATACAAATTTCGACACAAACAGCAAATGTTGATTCACACATCAAATGCAGCTGACACGACGTTTGCGGGGAGTTGCCTGACGGAAGGAAGGGTGTGAACAAGAGCCGACAATGTGGCTGGCATTGACAAGCTAAAAGTGTCCGGCTCCCTATCAAAAGATCTGCTCCTAACCTCTGCAAAGCGAGCCTTCACTGGCCTCGGTTTTCTGCGGTGAGACACGCCAGTAACCACAGGCGTGGTGAGCGTCAACAAATGATCGAAATGTTTGTCGCTAGAAACCACACGTCCCTACTGATAACTCAGCATCCAACTCCAGTAGGAGCTGGTGTGGACAAGGTCCATGCTGCAATAGAAGCCACTTCAAAAATGGAAGGCCCGAAGCCTACTGACGCACTGCCATGCCAAAGACACGTATCTAAAGCCTTTCGCTTTGCGGTAAGATAACGGCGGCCCAAAAAACCAAAACATTGACCAAAAAGTCCCACAGTCTTGCGCGCACCTGCGCACAGCTGCGATAATCCTCGCCCACATGGAGCTAACGCCACTGGTAGCAGCGCGCGGCGGGCGCGCGGCCGCCTGCCGGCGCGTACTCACACTGCCTGGGGGCTGCCCTGGCTCAACAGCCCGTTTCCGTTCATGGGAAGCGTCACTGCGTACTCGCTGACGGCTTTCTCCACACCATTCACGTATAGTGAGGAGCCTGCAACGGAGGAGGGCGGCGTCAGGGGCGGCGGCGGCCGGGTGTCATGACTCAGGCGGGCCGCCGGCCGGCAAAAACCGACCTGGCACGCGGGCCGACGGCCGCCGCACGTGGCCAGCCGGTCCGAGACGGCGCGCCGCGCCCGGCCCGGTCCGCAGCCCTCCCGGCGGCGCCCAGCCGTCAGGACGCCAGACGACGGCGAGCGTCGCCGACCGAACCGGAGGTAGCCCACCCACCGAGGGCGACGCTGACGTAATGACCTGGGCGTGCTGTCCGCTCCTGACATACATGGCATACCACAGCAGCAACAAAACAAAACATCCGCTTAAATCATTCATCCTTTGCTGCACCAATTCAACTCAATTAGTATACAATACTGTTGGTTGTTTAGTGCAATCGCCAGGGACATGGTGTGGATAAATAACACAGCAATCATAGTTTTATTCTACAAGGAATAAGGCCATTAGTAGTTTACTTTTTATAAAGATCACATGCCCTTAAAACAACCATCTCTCCTGCCAGCCAACGAAACTCGAATATGCAACATGCATAGATTGGTCCTTAATCTTGCTTCTTTAGTCTGTCAGCAAGTCTTATACCAAATAACCACAACAAATGCAAAGAAACAAGAAGACCCAAAATACTCAGTGAATGAGTGCCAATGAATGAAATAACAATGCAACCTTATGGCCTAAACACAAGTCTAGCTTGGAAGTTTCTTTCTTTATTTCAAACCCTGCATCAGCTTCAGCAGAAGATGCACTAACAAGATGCCCATGTTATGGTGTGGGCTGAGTGAAATAATACATTAAGTGTTAATCACTAAAGCTGATATTACAACATAGAACATGGTATTCATCATCTTTCAGAAACTCCACAAATGCATTTTCAACATGTCTTGGGATAGCATTCTCTTGTGTGGATAGCTTGCAGGTTTCATGTTCAGATCAAATTTACCAGTGACAGCTTGACTTTCGACCAGCTTTAAATCAAAAGGTCTAATAACTGTGATTGACTAGAGGCCAGAAACAATGACTCAGTTTCACAAAACTAATGGACAACTTACATTCACATAAATTAGTGTTGCATAACCAAATGGGCAAAACATTTTCTAGTCTAGCCCACCCAAGAACACACTGATGACTGGAACACTGCGGACTGGCACATTTACAATTAGGGTAAGCCAATGTCTGTACAAAGCAGTCAAATAAAAAAATGCAAACCATGAAATATGCCCTAGCTGGGGATGGTAAGCAGGTGCCATCCCACATAAGCCAAGAAAAGTAAGACACCCAAAATGACACCCACTTTTTTAGCAGACATTGATACAATTTTTCAATCAATGACAGTCTTTATCACAGGCGAAAACAATGTCACAGTGAGGTATCACATACAAATTTACCCAAATGCAAAGAACATGTCCACCAGAGGACAGGTGACTGAGGCAATGCATTCCATCAAATGAGAAGGGCACTTCAGGTACAAAGGGGCAACACATACCCTGTGGGAGGCCCTCAGATAACTAACCTCAGACCTGTTGGTTGAAAGTCAGCCCACATCATCCACAGTAGGCCTATGAAAACAAAGGATGCCCCCCCCCCCCCCCAGCCCAAGAGAAGGCCTTAATTAGACAGACCAAAAGCCAGCAGACCAAGTGGAGGTTCCATCTGTGATATATACTTAAGAACTGGCAGATTAAAAACAAGAAGTGAGCAAACACCATATAATTTCAGGTGAGGGTTTGGATAGCAGATCCCATGGTTTGCTTTGGAGGACCTTAGATTAGCTTGCCCTCACCCTGGAGAATAGCTACTCATACTCACCATAACTCCAGCCCTCCACAATGTAGTTCTACATATGTGCACTCACATGGCTGGTGCATACTTTCTTTTGGGGTCCCTCCCATGAATGACAAGTCAGACAAGGAGCCTTACTGGCTGAGGAAACCAGGCAAGTGACACAGTGCAGCTAAATGCATATGTTATTACAACATTACAGTGACAGAAAACGGCCTCAGCAATGATCAAAACACACAGCATCAAGATTCTCTACATCCACAGACACAGATAGCAAACCTTATTATGCATATTCTGATAAGCTGCAAAGAAAAACCAATCAAGCAATATAAAATAAAAAGCAAGAACAAGTAAAATATAAATTAATAATAAATATATCACACATGAATGATATTGGACACAACATAATTTCTTACCATATCCACTTTCATTATCACAAAAACACATCACTTCTTTGTGGCATATTTATGTAGTATGCTGTTATCTACCCAAGGAGTTGCATTATCTATTGGGGCTTGAGTTGTCATTGGTAATTCAATAATGGTGCTACAAAATGGAAGCTGTTAAAAAAGCTAAAATAGTTATGTCACCATTGCTTCAATAATCAATCAGGAAAATCAAGGAAGTTTTTAGCAGTGCTTTAACAAATTTATTAACACATTTCTGAAGCTGTTCTTACATGACAATGCAACATCTGCTTGAAATATAGTATGTATTAACATTCTGAACCAGTGTGGGAAAAACCTCCATTTTCTGGTGGATGTGACACCAGGAAATTTTGTACTCCAGGCTCTTGACTGGCAAGAATGACAATTTTTGTACTCCAGACAAACACTGCAGCCGCCCCACAAAGCAGACACCATTGCAAATGTATGAGCCTGAGTATAAGTACCAAGGCAGACAGTTTTGCTTTCTTGATAGCCAGGAGGGTGCATGAACTTTGCTTTCATAAAGTGAGTTATAACTTTTATCTGATTTCCAGGGACCAAACATATGGAGCACCAAGAAATGGAGACAAGCATCTGCAATCCTGCAGGAGCTGGCCAATCCAGGGCGTTCATGTTAATGTCCTTCATCATTGTATTACATGGGTTAGATGCACTTGTACAAGCCTATGCAACTCCTGAATGGTGATGACAACCCATGTGAGTTACTTCTGTGGGAATGAAATAAACTGAACTATGAAATGTGCTTGTTTTAAGTACCTACCGCTGCCACATACCTTGCATGTCATTACCTGTGGGGAAAATATATGGCGCACCTGAGTAAGTAAGAAGACCGCATTCTCCACGACGCACACACCCACCGATAACTTTCAAGAAACGGACAAACATATCACGGCTCTGGCTCCCACCACGCAACGAACCCATCGCCTCCCGTACCCGAAACCAGCGGCAGCCCAGCCTCCTGCAACTGACGAGTTATATGGCGCACCTGAGTAAGACCGCATTTTCCACGACGCACACACCTACCGATACCTTTCAAGAAACGGACAAACATATCACGGCTCTGGCTCCCACCACGCGACGAACCCATCGCCTCCCGTACCCGAAACCAGCGGCAGCCCAGCCTCCTGCAACTGACGAGTGCATTTTCGAGCAGTGAAGGTCCGCGTCGCAACAGACACCTACAACAATATTCGTTCGACCAGAAATCACTAGCAGCACCAAAATCACCGCTGGCACAATCTTTTTCAACTAGGTCATTCAAAGACTCGCCGAGCAAGAAGTCCAGCATGCCAACTATGCTCTTAACTTACCCTCATATTAAGATAACATGTTAGCGATTTTACCAAAGGACGTGCATCTTGCAAAAAGTTTGGTGGGAAAATTTCCAAAGATTCCAGCATTGCACATCCTTTTCAAAGCGCTCGTTTCATTCCTGCTCCTGCCATACCAGCCACCAATTACCATCCAACTTGCAATTAAACTCAAAATCATAGCATTCAAACACATCACATATCGGCACTTTTGAGATAGAATCATGACATTAAATGGCACCCAAATATCACGTTTGTGGGCGGCACTTTTGGTGGTAACGGCTTCTTTTGGGTTCTTAAATGTCATCGGGAATTACGTTCCCAAAGTGGGAGTTTGTGGCATGCAGCATTCCAAAACTTATTACTATTGTATAAATGATAGTAAGTCAACCACTTTTTCAGAAATCGGTAGGTACCGGTCTTTGAAGATTCGAGGATATCTTACTTATTTAACAAGGGTATCACGTCTCCAGGCTCAACCAGTACCTATACTTGTAAGATAGAGATGGTCCATAACCCGGTGGGAAAAAATCGCAGTACTTGGTTGCCCTTCTCACAATGGGGCCTATAGGGAGACCCGGGGAGAACAAGCCGGAGTACAAGCCGGAGAACAGCAAGTTTTTAGCAAAGTTAGCCAAATTTAATTAAAAAATTGACGTGTTTTGGTATCGTCCAGATACGGGCCTTCCTCAGAGGGTGTTTGAAATGGCATGATATGCCTTAAAAGGAGAAATATCTATAGATTTGTAGTACAGGTCCTGCATTATCTCGGCGTTGTCTTGCGCCACCAGAAGATAATATATATTTGTAGGTGGAAAATAGCAACTTTAAATGCATGACTGAAAAGCTCTATGATTTTTCTACCGCAAACTTAACAATTTGTGTTGCTGCAATTGCATAAATGTTTTTTCTTAGACTATTCATCACGGCCTGTCATTTCAGGACCGACCCGTGGTACTTGTACTTGGTTGCCCATTGACGAGTGCTAGAATGCCATCACAATGTCTGTGAATGCGCCAGAACTCCTGTGCATGGTTTGGTTGTTTGTCTTGATGTGGTCGGAGTGAGGAGGGCGGAAAGTGAGTGAAGATGCTTGGGATTATGTGCATCGTAGCTGCGAGTTTGAGGTATTCAGTGAGACAAAGTGGAATTGGTTGTCTTCAGTTTTCACACAGCATGTATCCACACTTCTAAAATTACTTGGGATTTAGTTTTGGGACCGCTATTAAGTCATTCCAAAAAAGGTAAATAAATACCGGGGGACTGATCTATAAATGTTTACCACTGCAGGCTGGTGCAGAATCACCTTGGTATAACCTGCTGTACCTACAGCATGGTGGGTAGGTATGTAGGTACTAAGGTATCTATATACAACAAATGCTAGGCTTGGGTTTCCCATGTGGGGTCAAATATGAGGCTGGCCTCTTTTCAGCTTGTGGTTATAA